TATTCTACAGCCAGGATATTCCTGATGCGAGACAGCTGATTATGCTTTTATTTTCCAGGTTGTGAAATGCTGCACCTCCTGATTTTTGTAGATCACACTATTGCAATGTGTTATACTTGCACAGCAAAGAGGGGGGGAAATCCAATTGATTTCCTTTTTCCTTTTTTTTGGATCAGCAATCCTATTTATAAATGAGTTATAATACAAGTGTTCTTTATTACATGTTAGTAGCTTGCTTGCCTCTTATACCATGTTGCATTTTTCCTGTAGTGGGACATCGATGATTATTTGTTTTGCCTAACCAGAACTTGACCAAAGGAAGAAAAGACACACAGAAAGCTACTTTTTTTACACAGAATCATGAGGTCATGTCAAATGGTGAATGAAAGTAATCCGTTTATGTGCTGTAAATCAGACTAGGTTTATTATGCATATGTTGCGTGTGTATAGGCATACACACGCAACATGTGCAGGATTTACCTTCAGTCCTCTCTGCCTGGATGATTGAGAATCTTCGTTGACATGAATGAGAAGAAACATCCCCATCACAGAGGAAGGCCATTGAACTGTTTTGAAAAACTAGAATAAAACAGCAGACAGTCTGGTTCTTATGCTCTCACCTTACTATTCCAACAACACGGGCCAACTATGAGTTCCTCCCTTTTCATAATATTAGTGCATCTGCTGTGATTGGTCTACTAATGCAAATAAATTTCAGACTCTTTATTGTACCTGAGAGACCGCCTCCTGCCGATTACCTCCCATAGACCGATTAGATCACACAGGTTAGGCCTTCTCCGGATCCCATCTGCCAGCCAATGTCGGCTGGCGACTCCCTGGGGGAAGGCCTTCTCTGTCGCAGCTCCAGGCCTCTGGAACGATCTCCCCGTGGAGATCCCAGCCTTCTGCAAAGCCGTTAAGTCCTGGCTGCTCCAGCAGGCCGGGGGGCTTTCGAAATATCCAGCCCCTCAGAAATTGTGACTGTTGTATATTTTAATATGTTGTCTTGTGTATTATCCCCCCT